TATCTAACGTGTATATAATAATAATAATAATTAATAACAGGTAAGTGAACAAGTGGGCCTATAGGGTGTCCATGGTCAAATGGTTTGGAAAGCCCTGTTTAGACTCAAAAACAAACAAAAGAGCAATAAAAATGCTTCATACTTTCCAATGGTTCAGGTAAATATTTCATTTATGTTGTTGTGTTTTCATTGTGTTGTTGTTTGAAGACATTATAATGTTGACGACACTTATTTTCTAGAATTTCTGTGCCCAATTTTACCAGTAGCATCCTTAAAAAATGTTCTCAGGACTTTTTCTGTTTGAGATGAAGCCTTCTATTCTGTGTTTCATTAGTCTTTATTTTTTCTTCTGTATATTGTAGAAACGGGGTTAAAGTTTACTGAATTGTGTCACATTGTGAGCCGAGGCACTGGACGTTTTCAAAAAGTGTCCCATTTTGCCAATACTCATCCCAGCTGTAAACACAAAAAGATAGCAGCTAAATATCAAGGTCTGTCCAGTTACTTTTGTGTCTGCTGTTGTGCAATCAAACACAAAAGACAAAGGTTTGCACTCAAGTATGAGATTTTTGAGCAAAGCTACAGACACTGCATTCAAAAAAAGGCTTGATTGCAAGTACAATGCATCTGTAAGGGCTGACAGACATCTCTGTTATGCAACTCCTCCTGCTGATTTGCATATATTGATGAAGGGTAAGTGGTGTCAGCAGGGTCATACATGGACACTGACCTCTTATCAGTGTCTCACCCACACTTGATCTGTGTCTCACCGCACCGGTGGCTGCGTATTGTATTTGAAACACCAGTTCTACTACGATGTAAAACACTGCACGGCCACAGCGTATTGTTCTGCAGCCACATGTTGATCTCATGTTGAACTTGAAGCATCATCAAGCGATGTAGGAGCACTTTGTCATTCAATCATTTTCAGTGCAGTAGAGCATGACAAAAAAATGTGGTCGTACACATGTCAGTAACATACATGTTTTGTATGGAACGCTAAGCTTCTTTGCAGCCTGTCTGGTCTCCTCTTGTGCAGCAGAAAGACTCGAGTCAGGACTTTATAAAAAGGGCAAAGTTTTCAGCCGCTGTATTGCGTATTTATAGTCTGACGCTGAACAGACACTGACAGTTTGTTTCATCTTCTTCCATCGGGCTTTGGATACAAAAGGGGACTTTTTGCTTTATGCTATCACACAACGCACTGAACAAGCTGCCTTAAAGGGACACGACGCGCATTTTACATGTAATGGACTTGTGATGGAGAATAGGCTGCTACTCAGCAGGAAAAAGCAGCTGCATAGTGTCATCATAGCTCTACTGGGAGCGTTATAAAGTCCTAGAAAGTAACCCTGACGATATGATCAGACTGTATGCAGAGGTTTGAAAAATGAAGGCAGTGACGCTCTAATGAACGATGTAGTTGCATTGTGGGAATTGTAGAATCCAGGACTCATACTAGAGACTAATTGCTTCATTTATTTCCAAATCTAAATCTCAAGAGTACCACTTTAATGACATTGTGGACTAGTTTCAGCACAAACATTGGGTCCTTATATGTTCCACTTTTTTCTGCAGTTTCTACAGTATTCATACACACACTGCTTTGCTTCTTGTCAGTTTTCCTCACACTGGTACAGCTTCAGATGATAAATCCATGAAAGCATCCCACTGTGCAGGGAGAGTTACTTAGTGAAATCAAACATCCACAAGGACGCGCACATACAATTCAAGCATTGTTGTTTTCTCTGTGCCTGACAACCTACAAGAGGAGGAACCTTTGTTTTATCTTTCCGGTTCATCTCAAGGACGTTAGACGAACGTCAGCTCAGACAGGACACACTTCTCCCTCCTCTCCATGTTGCTAACTGACTTTTTTTTTCTTCCAGGGAAAGGCTCCTGCTCCAAGCTATTAGCTTGACTTTTGGCTGGCATTGTAGTCTTACTACTATCAACCAGAAGAATCAAACACGCAGGAGTGGAAACACTTAAAACTCTAATCAGACTGATAGCATTTTGGCAAAGGAAGCTCACGTCCTAATTCAGAGTGACCTCTTACAAGGCACAAGTCCCTTAACTGAGTTATTTTTCACCTCGGAGGGAGTAATTGAATGGAGAAGCATCGATGGGGTTATCCATAAAAGCAATCATCGGACAGCGGTGGCAATTTAAAGCATTTCAACAGTTGAGTGTCTTGTGTTATTGGTGGGGGGGAGGGCTGTATCAGCTGATATCTGGATATTGACAGGGAGGCACAACAGGAGGCGCTGAGGCTGTCATCGACGAGTTTCAGATCTGCAAATACGATTTGTCATCATTCTCCGCAGATTGATGTTAATTGGGTTTTCTATCCATTCACTTACCTCTGGAGGTCACTGAAAATGGGGGTGGACAGCAAGTTATCTTTTGCCTATTTAACCATAATAGACTCAGCATGCGCTCGTCCCTCTGGCTCAATGTGGCCTAAATTGAGGGATCGATACTGGCTAAGAGTTGCAAAAGTACAGCGCCAACAGAGATGTTCCCAGGCAGGAAAGGAAGAGGAGGATATTATATGTACAGATGGAAAAGCAGAGTAAGAGTGGGCCACAAGTGTTTTGTATAGTCAGCTTTTTGTTGTGTCATTATCGTTAGGCGTCCTGGACGTGACACGAGAAAGTATACCAGTGGACAACAACAATGACATGGAATCACCCGAGGGACGGAGTGACAGAATAAATCAGAGGGAGAGAACAATGTCGAAGAGATTGGATGCAAAGATGGATCAAACGGAGCGGCTTTATCTGATCTGACAGGAGTCAAACCGGAGAGGAAGAAGGCAGCGCAGGGGGGGAGGAGATGAAATACGGGTTAAATGCAGCCACAAACGCAGAACAGGCCGACTTCCACGCAGAGCTGAATCAACAAATTGCCGGGCTGACTTCAGCAGCATCTCACACGGTGACGTGGATCACACACTAACACCACATGTCATGTCAGTCACCGCAGCCTCCAGCCTTCACTGGCATGACCTCAGAGAGATGTTTCATGTATTCGCATCAGGCCTGCTGTTTATGCCCAAGGAGGCTTCATTCTAATGTTGTCACGTTGTTTACTTATTAATCAACGCAACTCCCAGTTAGTTTCAATGATCGGTGAACCGACCAAAGTCACATTCACAGAGGACAATCCTGAACCATTTTTAGAGAGGCGTGTTGACTTAGCGCCATCTTCTGGTCAGGAATGATAATCTGGCACACTGGGAAGTGGTTTCTGCTGGTGACTCCTTGCCTTATTTGCATATTTTTAAATGTAAATAAGCAATGATTTTACTTTGTGGAACAGAAATCAGATCCTCAAGTTGGGAATAATGATGCATTACTTAAACTCCAGCGTCATATTCTGTCTTAGCTTGACAAATTGTTTTTTATATATTGCACACACTGAAATCTGTCGTCCTTAAAATGTCCCTTGTTTTGATTTTCAATGAGACATGCAGTTAATACAATGGCATTCAATGAAGAGTTGTACTGCTTATGTAAAAAGCTACCAGAAATATAATCAATGCAAAACTATTGTTCCCACTGCATCAAAAATGCAGTGGGAACAGTGTTGTAGAGGAACTAGCCTGACATAACTGTGATACAGGATTCAGACTGAATGAATCATTGTTTTTCATTCAGAAACCCTCGAAATGCAAAACTCTAACCAATAATGATTCATAACTCAACCCAGCAGCCTAAAAATGTATGTAAACGTGATTTTTTTATGCTGCTTTTACCTTGAAGCTGTTAATACTTAGTTTTCAGATGACTTTAGGTGAACAAACTTCTTTGCACATTTCATACTATCACAAACTCCTACATGCTTTTATTTTTTCTTCTCCTTGCCATATGTGTTAATGTGGCCTGGCCTCTTTGTGCACCTCCTCACTTCTGTCTCCTTTAATCGTGCCGTCCTGTCTTCACTTTGTCCTTTAGCTGGATGAAGTTCTCTGCAGCTAAATTAACACATTGAGAGGAAACATTAGATCATCTGTGTCTCTCTTGATCACTCCCCCATCTTCTTTGAATTCACTTCCAGACAGGCTTGACATCATGTCTCACTAACATCCACTGAAAACCAGTAACATCAACAAACACTAAAACAACCTAATTTTGTTTCCTGGCACAGACTGTATGAGACTTTTTCTTCAGCTCAGTCTTAAGTGACATCTAAATCCCTATGATAATCCTCAAGATCACACTGACCCTTTCTCCATTTTAACACTGAGTTTTATAATTCATTCTTAACTTTGGAAACAGTTGCTGACATCATTTTAGTACTTATACTGGCTCTTGATCCAAAGAAAAGCAGCAGAGGCTCAGTAATGAGAAGCAATAAAAGCAGATTTCTCTGTATTTTGCTTTAAAAAAAAGGATTTAAATAACTCACCCAGTGGTTCTTTTTCTGGCACGTCCCACTTCAGAGGCTGAAAAAAAATGTCACCCACCCACTTAATCCCACAATTTCTATTAGTCATTAACAGTGACAGCCAAAGCAACTAATAAAAAAAATGCAAGTTTCATTTTCTTGAAATAAATGCGAGCACAACAGCATCAGTAAAACTATATAACACATGCAAATTTATTTAATTTTACTGATTTAACAAATAGTGAAACTTCATCAATGCAAATTCAGCTGAAATACACATTCCTTATGTTTTAAATGCATTTTTAAGTATATTATATGAGGAATATTTTTGGATTATCAATTCCTAGCTGTCATGAAAATGTAAATGTCTGAATTTTCTATTTTTACAAGTATATTTTATATATAAGAATATCTTTTTTACATCAACATATGCTCAAATTTTAAAAGTCCTGTGAAAATCAGGGGGCGATGATGTGATTAAATGGAGTCAGAAGCCTCTACATGGACCTTTGCCGCTAGCGGAGGAAGTTATGATGAGCCTAACTTTGAATGATTTATTAGTGTTGTGTTAGTTTTTGGTCACACAAATCACACGACAGAGACACATAGTCGGATAATGGCTTTATATTCCCGTTACAATGACGCTTAACACACTTAGCTGGATTTCTGATTCAGCACACTCGATGTACAGCAAACCACGAAAAAGGACAAAAGGTAGCATATTAGTTGAGCACAGTCTCGGCTAACACAATTTTATTTGGTTGTTGTAATATGATTATAAAGTTTTATTTAAAAAAAAAAAACAAACAACACTCTGGTTTGGTGATCTGGGGTCGATTCACATCCCTGAAAATGTCAAGTTTTTCTTCCTGTTCAAACCTCTGGTTTTATATCAAGTATACAGCTTTTAATTATTGCACGAAACTCCATCGACAAGTACACGGACGAGAACTGAAGTGCTGCTGTTTCTAACAACTGTAGTGTCACACGGAGGAAAGCTCACAGGACTAAAATCTCCTAATCACAAAGCACTATTGGATTAGCTCTTAATCTAAAAGAATGTCAGGGTCACACTTTTCAGTCACAAATAAAACGATTTGTTCTTAGACGCAGCAAATGTAAGAATGAAACGAACACATCTTTTTACACATATATTACTGTTAGTATTATTATTATCTTTGCTTGTTTTCGTCGCTACTCCCTGAGAAACTAAAACACTGGTTAAAGGACATTTCCAGCACTTAAACAGCATTATGTTGTTTGTTAAGGCTCGACATTATTTCACTGGTTAACAAACACACCGCTGCACTGCTTTTCATCAGCACCCAAACATTTTAGAATGTAATGGCTTGACGAGGATGATTTAAAAAATACTAAATGGATGCCTCGATTATCAACACAACCTCTGGCCTAAAGTTGCTTAAAAGGATCACTATTATGGGGAAAATGATGTTAAATAGGCTGCGAAAATGAACAAATGTACAGTACACATGCCCCAGTCATCCAGTAATGTAGACGGTTTGTCGTAAACAGGATGTGAAAATGGAGGTAAGACCCTGAAACGTGTTTTATTTCTCAAAATGTGAACAGAAAATAAAAAAAAACGCTAAAAACCTTATATATTTTTCTTAAATATATATATATTTTTTATCCATGTCATGACTTCAGTGAGGCAAAGTGAGGTTAGATGTTGAGTTAGTAATACCGAAACCCTTAATACTATCCACTCACAATACTGTAGTTTATACATTCACACGCATACGGAAGGTGTTAAAGACTATAAATCCTCTCTAGTTTAAATTCATCGCCTTTTATCATCAATAATATTCACTTGGGAGTTTTAATGTTAACCACACAAAAGGACTTTTAAAATCAAAAACGAGTACTTTACACTCCCCTTTGTTTCATAGTCTCAGAGAAACAGTGTGTATGGCTGCGGCGCTCCTCTGTTGTCGGATCTCTTGCTGGTGTAGATTACAGTTGTATAATCAAGCCCTAGATTAGGTATCAGTACTGGGCGGCGGAGAGCGCACAGGTACCGCACCTGAGTCCCTGTCACCTTATCCCTGCTCCACACCGTCCTTGTCCCCGCCCGACGCGACATGTGCGGTCTTTTGTCCCGGGTCGTGCTACAACACCCGATCCTACTTATGTGTCCGTCGTCGAGGCCTCCGATGAACACGTGTGGGGGGGGTTTGGGTTTAAAAAGAAGCTTGTCAACACTGGGACCCACAAGGATGGAACAGTTTCAAGCTGTAATCTCTACACGCACACAGCAGCGGTGACGCAAATATTCACAGATTTTGAAAAAGGTCACGTGCAGTGAGATTCTCACATGTGGACTACATTCATACTGAAGGGGATGGTTCGTTAAGATGAGCTGATTCAGTTCACTCCAGAGCCAGAGTCAGGCTCCACTTTGGTTGTACTGTTCTTTAGCGTTTGGATCGGACTTGAGAACCAGAACATAGTGCATAATCAACACTGCATATCTCCGTTATTGATCACGATAATCTTAACCTGCGAGCTTATTCATTTGCATTCCAGTGGGAGTTGTGATACTGCATACGCTATTAATAATAATTCATTAGGGTTTCATACTACGCTAGCACTAAAGGAACAGTCCTACATTTTGGTAGCTTCATTGCTTTCTAGTCAAGAATTACGAAGAGAAAACCCTTCTTTAGTCTGTACAGGAAACATGCCGCTTAGTTTAGCACGAAGACTGCAAATGAGAGGGATAAGCTAGCTTTGAGGGATTCGAAAATTCTCATGTTATTTCATGTTTTTATCAAAACAAGGTGAGAAAAGGTCAGATAGCCTGCGGCATATTTCTGTACAGACACCTAACTCTCTGCAACAAAGTCAAGAAGTGTTTTACCAAAATGCAGAACTATTGTTTGGTTATATCTTTATAAGTTGTACCAATTGTGGCTGGGCTAAAATCATGCATATCCTGCTTTTCACCAAAACCAAGGTTGGTGCACCTTTGTTGTTTCCGATCTGATCTTTTTACGAGCACGGACAAGCATAGATCTCATCTCTCCTCCATTATTTTCTTCAAACAGTCCACTATGTCCTCGCCGCTGAGCCAAGGAACTATGTTTGCTTTGAACTGCTGCATCTCCAGCAGCAGCTTGTGCATGGGGAAGTCCCTCCTGGGAAAGGCTGTGTCCTGGGGTCCCAGAGCCAGAGTGGGGCAGATATCGTTGGCCCCGTCTCCGATGTAGAAAACCCTTTGGAAGGCAGCACCACCACGCTCCTTTTGCCGGCCAGCCAAATACTCCCGAAGGATCTTCTGCTTGCACATGTTGTCTGGACAACGGGAGCACGAGTGTGAGTGGAAAGGGAGCAGCACCAGCCGACCGGTCGCATCGAAGCTGCCCGGGTTTGTGAAAATCTTCCTGAAAAGGTGGCGCACCCCAGCGTGCTCCAGCCACGTCTCGATAAAATACATGTTGGCATCGGACACCACCGCCAGCTCAAAGTCCTGCTGGTGGCTCTGCAGGAACTGAAGGAGGTTTAGGAGGCCAGGGGTCGGTGGGATCTTCGCCACCGCCGAGTGGATGGAGTCTTTAGACACGCCTTGCTCCGCCATGTAGGCCAAAACCTTCTGCATGTGCTCGTTGTAGTGACCCTCCCTGTAGCTGTTTCTCAGCCAGTCGGGGAGCTGCTGGCCCGGCAGAGCGCGCACCACGGCGTCATCGCTGCTTTCATTGATGATGGTCTCGTCGAAGTCAAACAACACCAAAAAGCGTTGTTCCTGCGGCGCGGCCTGGCTTGGGTTTGACGGAGCTGTCATCTTTGGCGAGTGGTCCCTCTCTAGAAGAAGCAGGAGGGAGGAATGAAAGAGTCAGAAAGGTTTTCTCTTTGTCAAGGACAACGGATTCTCAGTCTGTTTTATTGCAACTCGCTCTAAAAATAAAAACGGCAAGATGCCAAAAGAGCCAACAATTACAGTTTGAATCACACTGTGTCCAGGGTTCAATTAAACTGCAGCACTGAACCACGCGGCGCTAAGGAAACATCAAAATGCACAAATACTCTTAATTAGGCCATAAGCTGAAGGGGAAACATATGTTTACAAGAGGAAAGGAAGGCGGCAGAGTTTAAATTAAACAAAAGCGGCACATAAACAGGATGTTCATCACACTTAGTGAGAGAGAACAACCTCAAAGTCGCCCCAAACGGTTTTACTATTTATCTTAAAGGATATTTAAACGACTGCTCCAGACATTCCTTCATTCCTTTAGGAATATTTACATGGCAGATCTTGGAGCAGTGCCAGTCCCATATTTACATAGCTGATGTATCTGTAGCACAAGGCTTCCCCTTCTGCAGGAATGTTGTAACTCGAGCAAAGAGAGAGCTGATTGTGACACAGCATACTTTTTCCATAAGTGGAGCAGATCGCAGCGGTACAGTGAAACCAGCGGTTGTGGTGGGAGGAAAAGAAAAAAAAAGTTCATTTGCTCATGTACTGTACAATTTTGGGCGACTGCTTTTCAGGAATCTGCATTTTGTGGCCTTTTCTAATTCCATTATAAAACCTGAAAGTATTAACGAGCCCAAAACTGTGCTAAAACCAGAATATTAGGTTGTCTCACATCTGTTTTACTGTATAAACAATAACATGCCATCAAAATGTGGAGTTTAAGAGATGACAAAAGATGAGAAACAGGTAAAAAATAATCAAGCTTATCGCATAACTAGTCTCTCTAGGTTATTTACTAAAGCCCTCATAGGCAAGTTTAGCCACTTAGCGGCCGTCTTGGGAACAACACTGGGCCGTTATTTCTGGTTAACAGAACTGGGCCTCCATAGAAATGGATGAGGGGCGAGCATAAGTGCAATTTCAATAGTCAGGCATCATAAAAACTGCAATCACCACCAAAATAAGATAAAAACACTTAAAAGGTTTGGTGATTTTGGCCCAAAAATTGGGTTTGAAAAGTGTGTTTCCTCACTCGACTCTTTTTCCAAGATGGCGCCGACTGAGTAGCAGCCAGTTACAGCAGCGCCGACTCCTTTCTTTGTTTATTGGTGTTTCTAAATTATTCTTCTACTGACTGTACACTTTTATTTCTTTTAGAGCTGTTGTAACGGTGAACTTTCATCACTGTGGGATCAATAAAGTTTATCTTTATCTTTATGTTATACTTCTACTAAGGGTTTCGCCACATCACAGCGCAGCAACACCATTGGCTGGATGTTTCTCGGTTCACCTGTTATAAAGGATGACGATTGGATATTTGCAGAAAGGGGGCGGGACATGTGTAATACAGCCGCCATCTTTGCTGTTAGGGAATTTCCATAGTGTTGATTGTGTCCCTTAAATGTCTCTGAATTTGGTTTCCTGTAATTAAAGAGGTGATTTTGATTCTCCAACTTCTTAGCAGCTGAGTTTTTATACATTATAGTAAAGATAACGGAGAAAAGGAAGCACCAGTCTTGTTTTAAAGGTAAAGCAGAACGGCAGCAACAGTGGTTTCTGCAGCCTCTCCTTGATTACTCTGTTGTGTCGAAGTTTGGAAATAATTTCCATCTGCAGTCACTGACAGAAACAATAGAGCTTTTTTCACAGCATACACGCTTAGATGTGGTAGCAGGAAAAGCTCAGAGGTGTATCAATGCTGGATCCAATGAGGGGAGATCCTGTTATTGTGCGTGTGTGTGTGTTGGGACACCTAATCAAACTGGCTCATCATCAATCTTAGCATTTCCACTTGCGCTTTTCCTGCAGCGACAAGCCAAAATATGTGGAAAAGGTCAATAAGAAACAATAACAAAGAGCGTTTCTGAGATACAAGAGTTGGAAACTTTTCCTCAGCTTTATTTTTAATGTAGTTTGTGCTCTCCACCTTTTTGAGTCTGGAGTTATTTATCATTTTCTAGGTTAAGAGTTCACATCTTTAGTGATGCATTGTTATTGATTACATTAGTGTATAAAATGCTTCATCACTGATTGGCATCATTAATAACAAAGTAAAGCTACAACAATTAATTGATTAATAGTCACCAACTATTTTGATAATCGATTAATTGCTTTGAGCCTGTTGTTTAAGGGGGAAAAGTCAATAATCTCTATTTCCAGGTTCATAAATTTCATTCTTTTATGACAGTGAATTAAATATGTTTGGGTTGAAGGCAAAACAACAGATATGTGGACGTCATTTTGGGCTCTTTTTGAGATTTTGGTAGAGTTAGAATAGGCTAATAGATTAATTGAGAAAATAATCAACAATAACAATAAAGCAGTGATGTCTTGTTGTTGATGCTGAAGTATAATTGGTGATAATGCTTTGTATATTTACAGTAAAATGCAGATTTTTCCTGTACTTTTGACGCTGATGTGTTTGTAGTTTACTTAAGGAAAGTACTTTCTCCACCAGCAACAACACATGGGCATGTGAAGCCACTAAGGCACACAGAAGATTATCTACAGCCTCCATAATAACAACTGAGAACATAATTTTGAAGCTATGCACTAAAGGCCCTGCTACAGATAAGCATATAAGCAGGTATATGTGCCAGAATAACCAAACCTAATGTTTAATAGGCATCTTGTGCAACCTGAATAAACGTCCAAATCCATATAAATGACTAAAGTGACACCTCAAAGTGAAACAACAGGCTCTGATTGACTGATTTGCTGCATGCACAGTTCATAATAACACGAGAGCAGCACCGGCAAGTCTCAGCTGAACGTCCTGTAACCTGCAGTTGGGCTGCAGCGACAGTCCGCGTCCCTCCTGCCCCAGCAGCCGCTCCATTATTAATAGTGCATATTTACACACTAAGCTATCTAATTTTAACCCTGCAGCGCTATTCCTGTATGGGAGAGGTTACAACTGAAAGTCATTACCGCGGCTCAGTCAGCAGTCATTAGTCCCCGCACGTCCGAGTTGGCCGCGCAATAAAATGCACATTCAAAATCACACACACATATATATGGAAAATTATATAGGAAAAAAATGAGGGTTAAGACGGAGAAAGAAAGGCCTACCGGTGGTGGGCATATGAGCGGGGATGGTCGGCTAGGTGCCCGGCTCCGGCAACCGCATCCCAATGACGCGGTAAGATTTTTTAAAGGAGACTCCCACAGCAGCACAGAGGGCTCCCCCATTTAAAGCCGCTGCGTCAAGTCGCACGGCGTGAACAGCGAACATCCGCCGCGACCTTTCAAAATTAAAGCCCCCTCGGAGCGACACGGCGTTCATACAAATTCGCTAAACTAAGTGTAATGTGCATTGTTCCTCGTAGACAAATAAAGCGACAGTTAGGAAATGATTAAAAGTGATGTTCTAAGACAAAACAACCGAATCATCTTGTTGCACACCCACTGCCGCCCTTCCCCCGCTTTTAATTTGTAAGCACTAACAGCCACTGCCGCTTCAGCCTTTGCAGCTTTATTTTGGATAGGTTACCCCTGTGTGCTCGTAATGTCTCGCTATTAAGCCACTGTCCAACTGAATGATTGATAAAGCAGATTGTACAGGCTCTAGGACACCAGTAATCAACCCCTAATGAGCTCATTTAATATTGAATATCATTAGAGAACAGTTTGCTGTGAGTGTATGCTTTCTGTTCTACCGAGGGGCCACTTTTGCTAAATGACAAGCGTCTAGGGGCCAGTTAATAAACAAACAGTAACGCTTATCAGATAAAATTAATTAAGGCCCATACCTCATCTCCCTCTGAAATGATTTATCTTCATAGGAAATGAAGTAAAAGTGTGGTGCAGCATTTATAAAAAGATATTAACATTCATTTATTGCTTTTCGTCATTGACTCGTGGTCAATATTAGTCGGCTTTTTGATGAGAATTTACATAGAAAGGACTCATGTCTATTAATTAAACATCATAGAAATATTAAATAAGTAAAATCCATAAGCACTCACCCCCTTCAAGTCAGTATTTTGTAGATTCACCTGCGTTGCCCTCCTGTGGATGGGTGTCAATCGGCCTTGAACATCTGGAGACTGCACTTTTACCCCATTCTTCTTTGCAAAACTACCAAAGCTGCTTTCAAATCCAGCCACAAATTCTCATTTGGATTGAGGTCTGGGCTCTGACTGGATCCCTCCACAACAGTCACCTTGTTGTCTTTGAACTATTCCTGTGCAGCTTTGGCTCTTTCCTCTGGGTCACTGTCTTGTTGGAAACTAACTTTCCCCCAAGTCTCAGCACTATGTGGTACACAGCAGCACGCTTCATTGTAGGGATGGTGTGTTTGTGATGATGTGCAGTGTCTGGTGTCCGACGGTCAAGTGGCTTTCTCTTTTCCATTGTTGCCATTAGGCTTTGGCTCGTCAGGAATCCAGACAACAGTTGTATGAACGGTCCCTCTCATCTCAGCCGCTGAAGCTTGTAGCTCCTTAAGAGGAGTCGTAGGTGTCTTGGTGGCCTTTTGTCTTTATGGTGCAGTTGTAGCCAGGGATAGTAAATCACCAGTGGCTGGATCTTTCAGATACACGTGTCTGATAGACTAAAATCACTTGAGACTTGACGACCATGATTCAATGTTGAAAAGCAATGAAAGGGGAAAACTTCCAATGGGGGTAAATACTTTTTATAGGCACTGTGTCTGAGTCTGCTCTCTACTGTACATGTATTTTCAGATGCTGTTTCTCCTCGGTGCCTTTTGCACCTCCTGTACCTTGAACCCTATAACCTCCTGAAATATGACACCATCATTCGTTATCAGTCATGTCAGCATGCCATGACTTGCAGCGTTGTATGCATCGTCTTGTGGATTCAGACTACACTTAAGTCAGACAGCAGCAATATTAACAGACCTGCTTACAATCAAACAGCTGTTGCACTGTGGAAGAGACACCGTTGCAATTTTGAAAACCACAAGTTGTCACTCGGACGTGTGGTGGAAATGCCCATCTAAAAATAAACCGAGGCGTTGCTGTCGACAGCAGCTACAAGTATGAGAATGTGAACCGCTGCAGACAGCTGAGGGTTAAACAAAGGGCATCTAATTTCCCAAGACTACAGTATCTGCTGTACAAAGGGCTGAATAAACCCTTAAAACCAAGATAAACAGGCACAGTCATATTGTCTGCTGATAAAGAAAGGCGATAAGAAGCACAATGTCATCACTGCATCAGGACATCTCTCCAGTCTGCCCTTAATTAGGTCAGTTCTCAAAATATACACCTTGATTTTATTTCCAGGTTTCTGATTCAACTGCAGAACACAAGGACTTTACATCTATGAGCACAGTAGTCACATTTTGTACTAAAAGTATGTATCTGACCGTTTCAGTGGGTCTAGATTTGCACTGCTGGATTTTTTGAACAATGTCTCAGTTACTACTAAAAGCAAATATGTCTCTTAAGATGTATATTGCTAGTTTTGGTAAAAAAGGACAATTAAGTTGCATAATACTGTAGGTTTTGGCTTAAATTTATTAGTCATTTATCATTCTAAATGAAAGATGGAGTGCATGGTGCTGCTTTTTTGTCAGGGTGATGTAAGGCCCAAAGAAACAAGCTCAAGTGACGCCGTTCAAGTAGGGCTGCAACTCAATGCTATTTTCTTTATTCATTAATCTGTGTTTCCTTAGTTAATCAAGTCAGCGTTTGATTTTGAAATGTCAGAAAATGGTAAACATAGTTGCAGATTAATGTTCTGTCCAGTCATGACACATCTATCTAAGAGCTGTTCTGCAAATACAACGAGTGAAACTCAGAAGTCAGACCTCCAGACAGTTGACATCACTCAGTCATGATCATGAGATGGTCATGGGAACTTCCTCACAGGAATTTTTGGTCATGATAAGAAGTTAGATGATAAAGCATAAACGTTTGAAAGAGATGTGAAGACGGTTGATCTCAGAATGAGAGCAGTAGGACTGATTCTTGAGAAACGCAGCGTTTAATCGATGAAAAAACACAATTACTGCTGCTTATTGTGCCAAAGTCAAGACACATGTAGGTATGTTCTTTAAAAAGGATCAAAACCCACTGAGAAATATTGGTGTTTTAGTAAACTGTCTGCTTTGTAGGAACATAAACTGTGTGATTTGAAGCTAACTATTAATAATGTGTAACAGCAGCAGTACGGTCTCTTATGCATTAATCGGTTTAAACAATCCAACAGCTGTCAGCTCATGAAGCTTTGCTCTGACTTCCACGTACATATGAGGCCCTCTGCTGGTTGCCAGCTGTGTTTAAGGACGACGCTCAACCAGATGAAGAACATTTAAAGGTCCGAGTGACTGATCACGGAGGGCAACTACTGAAAAACATCAAATCAAAGGAAAACTGTAAATTTAAATGTCACATTACTCATCCTTGAAGCTGCTTTTCTTGGCTGTATTCCTGCATTTTGTACATTTTGATTCCCTGTAATAAGCAAAAAAAAAAGGAATTTCATAATTTACAATACAGTTTTGGTAACCTGTCATGCAAGCCTTATGATTTAATGCTATTGGCAGAGGTCAGTGAATGTGATTGCTGGCGTAATATCTGCTGAATAGAATCATGTCAGTAATTCACAATTTCAGAGCAACATAACACTTTAATCATACAGACAGCTCAGTGCCATATGAACAAAGACGGTCGATGCAAGTGTGCATAAAATGTGTGTATATATATATATAAAAAAAAAGGAAGGATCGATCAATCAAAAATGCAGTAACACATAAAATCTTTATGCAACACCACTGATGGAGACACAAAAAAAGTTCGGAGCTTAACAGTGCAACTTCTTAGTAAGCAACAGGCCTGTGAAGTGGTTATAATTCTATGTATGATGCTGCAAATTAATTACAGTGGTTATAGTATAATACACTTGAATTGTTAAATGCTTTAAATGTTTTACAAACCACAACAGAGAATAATTTTGAATGGCATCAACATGTGTGATTATTTTCTCTTTAGGAAAAGGATTCTGGCTCTTAATTAAACAAATGTAATGTTTCTTTGACGCATCCAACCTCTGAGAAGACGTGATTTGCAGCCCGGGTAGCATTTGATTAATCTTTTTGTAGATGGAAACCTGCCTATCAATAGAGGAGCAGGCTACAGTACAGATGGTTTAAAAGGCAGCATCGTGGAGACGTGCAGCTTTTCCCTGACCACTAGATGTCCCTCGCTGCACGTATGAATAAAATATTATTGGGAACACGCCTTGACGACGATGTTTGATTATGAAAGCTACACTCTGGCTGCCAGCTTTAATCTAAAAAGGCATTACTTGACTAAAGAGGAACTAAAGGGCTAAAAAAACTCAATAATGCTGCTTATTTAAACTCCTCATGATTCAGTAATTATGTTGGAACTCTTAACGTTTATCCATCATGCAGGAAAACACTGGGCTAAAAAGTAGAGCAACACCTCCACAAAAGCCTGAAAGCCTCTCACATAAACTCCCACTGGAAGACCAACGTCCCACAACGAGACTCCAGTTCCTGCTCAGAGTCCACATCACATCTTACTTTCTACAAGGAGAAGGAAACCTGGCCAAACTTAACAATACTTGTCCAAGTGGCCAAAAGGAGAAAAAAAATGTCACAAATGTAAATACCATTAAACAGCATCGGCGAAACTTTGTCACAAGCACTCTTTGGAAATCAAAACAAGTGGAGAAGGAGAGCGATGTTCAGAGAGACAAAAAGCAGCAGAGAGAGGGTGGAGAGAGGAGGAATGTGAGGAGCTGGGCTGGTGTGGACGCAGGAAAAAAAAAAAAACTCTTCCTCTCCTGCTTCAGTTGCATCTTCTGCGTCACAGCATTGAATTACACCCACAGCTGGGCAAAACATTTTAAACTGCTGAGCCCAAACTCCACCAGTTAGGTCATCCGTTCAATGAATCCGATATGCAAGCAATAAAAAATGGAGAAAATGGAAGTGATCAATCACTCTTGATATGGAGCTTCAAAAGGAATGTGTACGGAGGAGAGGAATTCTTAGCGCATTACAGTAAGAGCTCGATTAGGACAAGCTGGACACAAAAGCAAGTTTTTCTTCTGAACTTTTTAAGCTACTCCATCCACACTTAAGAGGAAAAGCACAAACTGTAGCCCTGAAAACTTGCCACTAATCAGTAATTTTGATGAGGCAACGTAGGAATTAAGAGCTTTGTAAATCAGAGGCAAAAAAAAAAAAAGCTTTTTAAATGGGTTGCCAAACAGATTCAGCTTAAGTGCAGCGTGACATTCTTTGCAGGAAAACCCAAGAGAGATTGCCAAGGCAGGAAAGTCCGCCTAATTGTTATTCACAGTTGGCACGACGGCCGTGGTGAAAGCTGGCTTTAAATGTGACACAAATAAGTGAGGAAAACACAGCAGTTAGAGCACAATAACACACTGACCTGGGATTTCCTTCAACAAAGGCAAACTGTGTAGCTGATCAGAGCAGAGCAGCTCTCAAATACTTTGGTAGTGCATCGCAAATGCACGAAAGTACACAAACAATCACTGCTGCTGCAATCATACCGGGGGAAATCATTTGATTTGTATAATTATGGTTAATTACAGTTAATTCCTTCATCAAATGGATGACGTGTAACAGGATTGTGTCTGTGCCAGATGTTGTGTAGGATTCTGACAGAAGGAAAACCGACAAACAAACATGCAAAGCAAATGTTAGTTTTATGAGATGGATGTGTGAAGCCTCCTAAAGGTTGAGTCTGGATTGTTGACATTTAGCCTCATCTACCGTCCATCTTGCTCCCACTGGTCTCTGTCCTCCCCCAGTGTTGTGCACAAGCCTGACTGTGCACGGGAATAGTGTCGTATAGATTAGTTTGATCTGCTGTTTCCCATTTACAGATCCAGGGCTGCGTAAAAAACACATGAACTGTGAGGAGATATTTTTATGCACCTCGATGCTAAAAACTACAGAATTTTGCTCTTTTTCATACAAATACGAATAAATACCTTGCAACTGCTTCCAAAATAGTTCAATAAAGTTGGAAATTTTGGTGCGTCTGAAAGGAAAAGACAACAGCAAGCATCAATATGAGTCCAACTCTATCAACTTTGCAGGACTTCTTCATTGGAAGTGGTTCATTTTTATTTATTTATTTATTTTTATCCTTTCCACTGTTGCCAAGAGCTTGCTCAAAGGGAATCAAAGGAAACTTTAGATTTTTTGGGTTCTCGGTTAAAAATTTTAACGAAAAAGGAGCTTTGAGATGACATATGTTGGAAATTGGCACTTTATAAATAAAACTGAATTGAATTGAAAAGGATGACAGACGGTTTAAAGAAATTATCAAGAATATCAGAATAACAAATGGTTTTAGGTGCTTCCCTTTTCACTTCCTTTTTTTCATCCTGCTTTAAGTTTGTTTTTGATTAACAATATCACAAATAGTTTTTTCAGTACACTGTATAAATCCTGGCACAATAAAAGCTGGGTAGTCGTCATAAAGCCGAGCTGTGACACGTGATGTGATGCACTGGGAGATGTGGTGCTTCATACAGGTCATACTGGCACATTGTAGTCTGCAGTCTGCACAATCACTTTGTTAAAATGCACTTTGAGATTATTATGCAAAGCTGCCCAGTTGTTCTTCTTTTTAAATGCACAGTGTAGTTTTATACACACCAGCCCTAGTTTGGTGTTACCACAGGTGTTATGTTAGAGCTGTGGTTGAAGTTTGCTGTCAGAGGGACCACAGATTTCAAAGCTGCGCCACCAATTTGATCACCTGTCTATAATCAGAATACAGTGTTTCTCAGGTAATGTAAGAATACAGTGACCTTTTATTTCAAAAAAACACAAGTGTTCCCAACAAAGACACGACACTATAGACATATTGCACAACAAAACTTCATAAACAGTTGAAAAATACTGACAAAGTCAAAACAATTCATGGCATCTTGCTTTTCTCTTCTCTTTCCTTTTTTTTTTTGGACAACTGGACAAAAGGGAAACTCACTGGGGAAATACCATTCAAACAAACACTCTTACTCAATCCTTTTCTGCTTTAACTTCCTCTGTGGCCTCTTCTTTCTTCTCGCTGACGGCATCTTCATTTTTTTCCGCGCTTTCTCCCGCCTCGGCGTCGGACTTTGGCTTCTCTTCCTCCTTCTTGGGCTCGGGGAGGAGGATGACTTTCCCGATGTTTTGGCGTTCGTGCATTCGCTTCATGGCCTCAGTCGCCTGAGAACAGAGGAGCAGAAAAGATGTGAAAATTGGTTATTTCTTAATCCTGAAACTCATTTAAAAGCCTCTAAAAGTCTACGCGAGTGAGTCACTAGGGTTCTCATGGGGCCAACAAAAGAAAAACTCTTATTTTAACATCAAATGTGAGAGAATGAAAACCTGCACCAACACATTTCCAACCATTTGTGGGCATTTTAAAACAACACAACACTGACATGTAATCTCCTTATTAAGTCATTACAGCTGACGTTTCAGCGAATGCTTGCTTATCTGGACATCAAGCAGACACGAAGCATCGTTAGCATTGATTTAAGCTCATGTTTGTGTCCGTGTGATAAGGGCAAGTTCACTTTCTTTAAGCTCAGAAGCATCTGGCTTTGTAGGCGCTACACGCTCCACCATGTTGGTCACTGTGGTTTGGTGATGGGCAGGTAGATAACAGTGGGATTATCAGAAAATAGCAGCCTGAAACCAATAAAAAAGATGTTGGGGGGCCATAAAAACCAAAACAATGAGCTGAAAAACATTAAAATGCATAAGAACAAAACATTCATTGCTGTGAGGGACCTTGTTGACAGCACACATAATTGTTTTACCATGAAAATTATGCAATTCTAAATGATAAAATTAGATAATTTTGATGCAAAGGAGCAATAAAGTATCTCAAATATTGATTCAAACAGTTCAACATTATGCAGTTACTATTTCTGCTGAAGCGGTCGTGTTTTCATGCCGTTTGTTGGTTTGTTCGTCTGTCTTTCAGCAGGATTATCCCCAAAAAACGCCAGGCTGGTCTTCATTCAGCTTGGTGAGGAGATGTAGGCAAAGGAAGAAACTATTAAATATTTTTGCAGATCAAATCAAAGGGTGGATCCAAGAATATTTAGGCCTCGGCACAATTCCTAGAAGTGCCCTTCTAGGTATATTAGCATTTTGAGATGGCTGAGTTTTCTTATATTTGGGTTAGTCAGTAGTCTGTTATTTGGGTTTTACAATGCTCAGTGTTGACATGACAATACATTTAACTCTAAAAATAAATGTCTGTTGCTGTGAACACACGAGTACACACTAATGAGTGGAAGTGGGGATGAAGACAAATAAAAACAATGGTTATCTCTCCTGTGCATCGCTGCTATAAGTCCTCTGTACTTCCTATTATTTCCTGCCTCTGCTTCCTGCTTCTAAACGCAGCCTGGACCACCGTGCATTACGCTCCTTTCCATTGACGAAGGCAGCCGGAGAAACTCAAAGCGCAGAGATCCCCACTAGTAGAGATGCCACGGCAACAATTGAGACCGTCACCTAGCAACAGCTGTTGAGTACCATCTTATCTGATGGGGGGATGGAGGTTCACTCGTCTGCTGCGTCACATGATTGATGGGAAAGAGGAAAACACCAAAGGGGGGGGGACTTCCCTCCAGTGTCACTGAATGCTTTTTAATAAGCAGGTGAAAATACATTAGGTATGCGTTGGTACTCAAACCTTTAGGAAATGCACTCATTCATTTTCTCTCCAGTGATTTATAACAAGATCAATAGCATTCTCACATCCTTACTATGAAGCTGCAGCCTGCGTAGTGTCTAAAGAAAGAAGCCTTTAAAGCACACATATCATGTTTATTTTAGATGTTAATTTAACGGTGTGTGCAGATTTCTTTCATCTAGAGTCTGTTTCCTCTTGTTTCCAGTCTTTAGGCTGAGCTAACCATCTCCTGGCAGATTCATATTTATTGTACAAATTTCGAGAGACGTATAAATCTTCCCATTTTACTGTCAGCAACGAAGTAAATACGAGCACTTTCCAAATAAATTCTTTAAAAGTTGTGTGCAGCAAATTAGAAAATATCCAAATATCAACCCTTTTCAAAGACACGTTTTGCCTTTAATTCTGCCTCTTTTGTTGCCTTTAATCAATATTTCAAACAGTACAGAGACAGAGGAGATGAGCAGAGGTCGACACCCAAACGGTAGATATTTGACACATTCACAAACACGATCAAACTGACCTCCTCAAAGTGAAAGCGGGAGTCGATGTGGGGCTTGATCTTTCCCTGCCGGTAGAGGTCCAGCAGCGTCATCATAGTCCTGGAGAAGAGCTGCTCGTCGGTGACGTAGCCCAGGTGGAAGCCGCACACGGCCTTGTTGGCCTGCATCAGTTTCAGGGTGTTGAGAGAGAGCTGGTTGTACCAGGTCTTTGCCATCGCCAGCAGGTTCTTCTTCTGGCCTGTCACACAGTTGGCTGCACCTGGAACACACATGAACAGTTTCACAATCGCTATCACGTTATTATCTTCTCACTTTCTATCAACCACGATTACGTTTTCTTTAAATTAGGCAGTATTCCAATAACATTTTTGTATTTTTTGACACAAACAAGTTGCAGAAGTTGTCGCACGATGGAAGAGAAGCTTAAAAAATTTTGATGCTGCTCTTTGTCAGGACATTGTGAGGCTCCCAGAAGGGCTATCCATTGCGGTCGAATCAAGATAAAACAACCAATTATTGTTCCAAATGCTCATTTTCAGCCCCATATCATGTGACATCATGTATGATATGATATCATGAAATCTGACCCGACATCAGACTTTCGTTAGTTCCACCATATGTTCAGTCTGATGTGATTCCAGGCTGTTAAGTTCAGTTCAGAGCAAATCTAGCCAATGAAAGTATGCACACATGGTTCCCAGCAAACATTCTGACGTTGAGTTTAGGTTGAAAAAACATGCAAACGTCAGTGGGTTAAACAATAAGGCCTGTTTCCAGGTTGGTAGCTCAGCAACCGACTGTTTACAACAAATATCTTGTTGATTTTTGGATAGTTTGATGTGCTTTCATTGAACAAATGTCAAAGAGCTCTTATCACCAGTGAGGGCAGGGAGCTGGCAAAACTACTGATTTGGTGACTGACAATGAGAAATCAGGACAATATGTTCATTGGAGATTTGTTGGTTTAGTGACGGACGTCTACAAAGGAGACAGCTGAACACTGAGCCAATGCTTAGACCACAAACTGTATATAAAGATAAATGTGACTCCTGTGATCCATTGATTTGTGGATCAAATTTAGAATTTAGCCAACACCATCTTAACTTTTTCAAACTGGATGAAGGGAGGCTCTGAGAACTGGAGGACACAACGGATGCCCATACGGTTCCGTCATCATCTATTTTTCTGTCCATGTTTACGCAGATAAGTCAAATGAGCAGTGGGATTGTTTTCTCATAGACTTCTATAGGATTTGACTTGTTCTTACAACCAAATGTGTCCAAACTTTAGACCACGAAACAGAACTCAGGTTAAAGGCTGCATCCATCTTTTATAAATCCACGGTTTGGACAATGGCTGTTTTCAACTGCTGCGTCTTACCAAAGACTACAAGCATGCCCATTGGCTTCAACAAACTAAAGCCTTTCTGGGTGTCGGAACCACCAAGTGGGTCAAGGACGATGTCCACTCCTGCAGAGAGAAAGAAGACACATTAGGAACAAAAGACAACACTGTTCACAACAAACATGAAAACATGAACTGGCAACTCAAAAAAGTTCAAGGACTTCAGCTCATTGTGCTCAAACGCTACACATGCAGCAGCAGAAGTTGCCAAGAATGTCTTTCGTCACCCTTCGGGTTGATTTTGCGGATTTCCTCCACGTAGTCTTTGGTGCGGTAGTCGATGGGGTGAGTTACTCCGCCTTGGGCGATGGTCTCATGTTTGGAAGCGGACGCGGTGCCAAAAACGGTCACATCCTGCACCGTCTGACACAGCTGGGTGGCGGCGATCCCCACGCCACCTGCAGATGTGCAAACAGCAGCACAGACGTACATGAAAACGGCAGCAGCGGGTGTTTTCACTTTCAGCGGAGGAGCTTTTCCAGCCTCCGTGTGATCCCTCTGTGACTCGATCATCAAACAATCAAAGTACGGCGACTTGAAGTGCTGAGTCAGCACGGGGCTGATCTGACAGAATCCCTGAATAAAGACACTTTGTGACTCACACCCTCCTGCTTCACAGAGCCTCGAATACAGAAAATAAATATTACACCTTCTCACTAACAATACCCTTTAAAGGCAGGTGTTGTGGGTTTTTTTTTTTTTAAGCAGAACACAGAAAAACTCAGCAGAATATTGTTTGTTGGTGATAATTAGAACTCTTTAGGCAGCTTTTTTTAATATAGTGAAGCATGATTTAGAATTTTATCATCTAAATCTCAACAATCTTTCTAAAATTTCTGTCACTATGCTGGTTGATTTGTCAGATATGAGCTGCGAACAGGTGATTAAACAAGTACTTAAACATGCATTCACATTCTAAACATTTACATTTGATCTTCATGTGTTCTTTGTCTTGTCCTTTTGTAGAAAACTGTCACACAAACCACACAGGAATGAAGCTAAACACATTTCACAAGTTAATGTTTGTCTGCACACCAACTCAACAGAATCGACAAAGGTGATTTGAACCAGAGACAGAGGGTGTTTTAATCTATTTTTGTTCATTATTTGGGATTAAAGCATCTCCTAAAAGTGATATTTGTGCAGATTTCACACATACACTTGGAGCAAACATTTGAAACTCATGTACAACAGCAAAACACGGTCTAAATCTGCGGATCTTTATTTAAAAAGCAAATTTTTAACAAAAATAAAGGAGGAAAACCTCATTTGAAGGATTTAAAACGTCATGCTTTAAATGCAGATGAAATTTAAACAGCGGTGGGATCAGACTCGGTTTCATTTCCAACAACGACTCCACTACAATCACTTCAACAGAGGCTGGAGATGCGATTTGCTGATGGCTGAACCCTCGAAAGCTGAAACAGAAGACGGTGATTTCTGATCTCTTCGCTTCTGTGAAAGGCTTTTTGAAAACGATGGCTGTCTGGGTGGGTGTTGACCAGTAATCCCTCCTGTCCTCTTCTTCACCCGGCCCTCGTGTGGCTGATTCATTCAGGTCAGCTGACAACCAGCCACCCACTCAACACTGACGCGTGGCCTTTGAGAGGAGGGGATGCAGGAGAGCAGCAGACCGTGATGATGGAGGCTGAGACGCCGACATTAACTGACCTCCACATCTTGGACTCTCGGCGGTTGTCATGCGCTGATCTATCAAGAGTTACTGCAGCATTAACATTTTTTAATTAATTAACCTTGAATTCAGACTAAACAAACAAGCGAAACCCAACAACGTGACAAAAACAACGTGATGAATCGTCACTTTGAGCTCAAGGACACTGAAGTTATAAAAGAGCCAATGCAGTAAATCATTCTTCAACCTGCTGCAATCTGATGTGAATTTTAAGTACAAAGAAATTTCTCTCACTTCCCTACACCTACAGTTTTGGACGTACACTTTCCGTCAGTATCACCAGCTTTCCCAAAATCCGCAATATGTTCAGAGTTAACAGGAAAACAACTGAGCTGGACACTGTTTTTCTCAAAGTGACGGGAAATTTCAGACTGACTGAAAAGACAACACGAGACGTAGTGTTCATTCTTCACCTCGGTTGATGCAACAAATCGACTGCCACATACTTTAAGTAGCAGTTTCGAGCTTTCAGAAATATCGCAGAGATCTCCTCAGCTGTGGTAGTTTGCATAGTGAGCTGTGGAAGCACAGTCACAGGAAAACAGCAGCTCTGAAAACAGCATCTCACAACAAGATCCATTCGGCAGCTTTCCCGGCGCTTTTGATCACATCACACTGTCTTCCTCAGCGGGCTGATTGTTTGATTAATGCAGTTTCTAATGCTAACATTTTATACCACACCTCATTTTAATGTGAAAAAGTTGTTCTTTGGGAAAAAAATAGAAATTAAACATCTGCAATCCAATGACAGCTGCTGATAAAGACCATCAGATATGGATGAAAACACCAGAAAAGACACTAAATGGATGAACTCGTTTTCTCAAGTCACAATACGACTCCTTCTAAATACAGTTTTTTTGTTTGTTTTTTTAAATCAGGCAGTGATGCTGATAAAAATGATGCAGGCCCTGGATCAGATTTGAGGCTAAAACATTAAACTTAGATGGTGCAATACAATTCAAATTCCTGCTCCCTGTAGCCTGATCACTTCCAAAGAATATCTCCACTGCAGCTACATTACTGAATGCAATTCCAGGGGAACCTTTCAGATGATTTCCATTTTGCATATTATACATTTTATCTGTGTGTGATTTGTTAAAGCTCGGTGTCTAAAGATGCATTTCCATCCTACTGTGATCAGTATAATACCATTATAGCCTTGGTTTGAAAACTCCTGGACGTACTAAATGAGACATATTTGCTTGTCCCCATTTAAAATGTCAGGTGTTGCCTAAGCAACCGTGTGTGATAATGATCCAGTTTGCCATTTTATGAATAAGCCGTTATGAGACACACTCACACACACATCATGTTCACCTCTGACCTGTGCTCTCTCAGCTAATCATTTCTCAGCACAGCAATGCGGCTGCATTCAGAGAAGTGATTAGCAGCTGATGCTGGGCGAATCCTCACATGTTGCCCTGGAGGCCGGTGGAGACGTTTGATATGTTTTACAATGGACTCATTGGGGAGAACGTCTGACCAGCGGCGCAACATCTGACTCCCCCGAATCTGGTTCGAGGAGGTTGTTCTTTGTTCCTTTCTGAAAACAATCTTCATTTTTTTATGATTATGAATGACTCCAGGGCTGCAGTTATGATTATTTTTTCATTATCAGCCAACCCAGGGGTTCCCAAACCTTCCAGCCACTGAACCAGAATGACCATATCGGAGACGTTATCCCCTGGAGGTGGTCGACTCATACAAAGCACACACATGCACCACAAGGCCGAGCACATCAATCAAGAAGAACACAACAACCTAACAGCCAAAACACTGTTTTAAAGTCATCGAAAACAGGGTAGATGCAGCATAATTAATCTCTGTGTAGAAGGGAGTAAACATAGAGTCTGTTGGAGCAGCAGACTGCTAAGTGTAAACTTCCATTTTGGTAATTTTCTGTCATTACTTTGAGTTCAACATTAAGCTCACCACATAAGACAAACGATATGGTCACTATGCTCAGAGCACAGCGAGTCCATCCAGGGTCTAATGCTGAAAATGTCACTCAGAGATCAATTCTGTATTTATTGACTGATTTATTGATTTGTAGAAAATCATTTTATGACCCCCTTTGGGAACCGCTAAACTGACTTATTGATATTTTTTTAATGAACTGACTAATTGTTTGGTCAATGAAATACAAAAAATGAACTCTTTCAGTTCACAGGTTTCAATAGTCCAAAGAGTCAAATGTAACCAGCAATATAAATATATTTTAGATAATAAACTTAAACAATTGCTAAATTGTTAAACTTGTTGAGTTTTTTAATGGTAATAGTCTACTTGATTAATTGGTACACATACAGTGTTAAATGACACTGGTTCTGCAGCATAGGAATATAAATATCCGAACAAATTACCACAGTATTTGCCGTCCCACATCAATTAAACAAGTCACAAAAGTGAAAGGAAGCAAGACTTCACTCTCGTAGCACCTCAACATCACACTGTCCTGCTTTTAAGTAACACTGGCAGAAGTGAAGAATCAACCCATCTATCAGACTAAACTAATGAATCTAAAATCCTCAGTACGTCCCCGTATGTCTGAAGTCTTACCTGCTGCCATGTGTATGAGAACACTTTTCCCCGGCCTCAGGTTGGCCAACTCGAACAGCATCATGTAGGCGGTCATGTAGTTAACGGGGAGAGCGGCGCCTTCCTCGAAGCTCATCTCGTCAGGCATGACGAAGGTGCGTTCGGCCGGCACGACCACCATCTCCTGCCACATCTCACTGCGACTCAAGGCGATGACACGATCTCCCACCTGAAGGAGCAGAGAAGGAAGACACAGATCTGAGTTACAGAGCTGTTTGTTTCCTAAAGTCGGGTTCTTCACAT